GTGAATATTTTTGTGTTCACTGCTGTTCATGTCAAAGAAGACATCTTGAAAATTTTATTTTTTATTTAAATTCTGCATGGATTTCTGGGATGAGGAGTTATCATTATTTACGTGTGAGCTATTTAAAATATTAAAAACACTATATAGGTATAATTATGCAATTTTTTTTCTCAAGATTTTTATACCTGAAGGTTAGTCATATTATTGGTGGTGTGTAAAAACCTTTGTATGTGAAGAGGGAAGGCCGAAGGTATGCTTAACAACTTCAGTGCTATTGTTTATTTTTTCAGTGACATATGTCAAGAACAGAACAATGGGGAGTGCTCAGAGACTAAATAACATCAGTGCAAAGCAGGTATTATGAGTGAATAGATGACGAAATGAAAATGTGAATTTCAAGAGATGCATTAGTTTTTTTTTTTTTACAATTAACAGATAAATCTTTAAAATGTTAATGTCCTTTATCCTGATGTACTTGTGTACAGGTACCATTTTTACAATAGTCATGCCGGTGGTAATTTTTAAGAGGGATTTTTTTACCGCATATACTCTATAGTTCATGTTTTTATGATCAGTTTTTTTTTTTTTAAAAAAAAAAAAAAAAAAAGGTCGTGTCTCATTATACATTGGTAAATTTTTTGAGGAGTCTAAAAATCATGCATTTTTGATAACCGATTGCACTATATACGCAGGAAATTGGGCACCTCGAGGCGGTGTAGTGGCTAGCACGCTTTGTCTCGCTAGTACAATTACGATTGAGTAGTGAGTTCGATCCTCACTGGGTGCCCCCTACTTTCGGCCTTGTGCCACATCTAAGTTACGCTTGGAAAATCGCTATACGCAGGAAATTCTTTTTTTTTCTGGTATGGTTAAAAACTTAAAATTAATGCAAAAAAAAAATCAGGGGTCGCAAGATACATGAAGTCGACTTATACACGAGTATTGCTGGAATAAAATAACCGCGCCATGGAGAAAATTATTTGAAAAATAAAAAGCATGACATAAACACTATGAGGAGAGTGAGGAAACTGAAAGAAATATTTTAATCATGTCGATACTTGGATTTAGTAGACAAAAATAATGACTCTTCCACAAATTATAGATGTTATTTAAAATGTTACTTTTTTTTTGTTTTTTTTTTTTGTTTTTTTTTTCAACAAATATGTAGAACTAGCAGTATAACCAGTCTTTGACCGAGTGTTTCATTACTGGGAATTTTTACCGTTCAATTGGAACAGTTTCTGTTTACGTTTAAACTAAAGTCAGCCCACCCGAAAATCAATATTAGTAACAACATTTGGGTGCAACTGAGGCACATCCCCAAATGGGAAGGGGGGTTAACAATTTGAATCGGGTGTGACCCTGAAAAGGGTCGTTTTTGCGTTCTCAATCTTGTTTCAGCCTCACGCACTGCAGCAGTTAAAGAGGCGTTTCTCCTCAGCCGTTGAGTCCTTTGATCATCATTGTCAGCCCCGTGCGCAGAAGCGTTCGGATGAAAACTGTGGAAACACATTAACAACATCCGATCACACACACACACACATATTTTGAGAATTATCTTACTTATTATAAAACGCAGATTGTGTGTGTGTGTGTGTGTCTGTAACGTTTATATATTGGATCGGATTTCCTACATTTTTCAACCGATTTCAACAAAACTTCACAGGACTACATAAAATTACCTTGTGGTGGTTCTAACAGCGCCAAAAATGGGAAAAATATGATTGTTTTTGCACAAAATCAATTTGAAAACACGATTAAGAGACATCGTGAAAATGGAAGGGGGACAACTCACATCGGATTTCCTATATTTTTCAGCCGATAAAACAAAACTTCACTTTTTTTTTTTTTTTGGCAGATAGTGTTTCTTATTCTCTTGCACACTTTTTTCTTTATTTTTAACATTCAGAATGCTTTAAAAATTCCATTTACAAGACAATTATTTATAATAAAATTCTATTCAATTGGGAGACTCATAACGATTGAAAACAATGTTTTTGTTTGAGTTTGGGTTTGACCAATTCGTAAAAAATACAAAAAAAAGAAACTAATTAAGACATGCGTGTCCGTCAACCTTAAACAATAATCTTTGTCTATTTTATTTTTCAGTCTTTATGATGGTCGATACTTGATCTATCTCTTACTGTTATATCCCCGGGCAACGCCTGACTCTACTGCTAGTAGATAATATTATTGTAATAATTTAAACTATTTATATTTATTAAAGTTTTTATGAAAGATATATATCCAAGAACAGATTGTAAATAGTAAAACGTTGTTGAGAGTTATAATGAACAGGAAGTAGTGGAGAGCCATTGTCGCCAACAATTTGTACTCAAAACCGGCACTGAAGAATTATCTATCAAACAAGAAAAAAATTCATCAAAATCGAATGAAAACTGTGGCAACGTATAAGCAACATCCAATCACACACACACACACACGCATACATACATACATACACACATACACACGCATACATACACACATACACACATACATACATACACACACACACGCATACATACATACACACATACATACATACATACATACATACATACATACATACACACATATTGAGAATTAAATGGAAATCACTTTCCATCCAACCCCAATTTCCTTTAACGCTAAAGAGTCCTTTGTCAAATGGACGCGTGCCGAAATGGTTGTACCAAAATATCTCACCTATATTAACCCAATTAATGAATGTTGCCATGATGTTTGTCAGAATATTCGAACTTTAGAATTTCTATCTAATTTTTAAACGTTCGCCTTAAACTAGAGAGTCAGTTGATTGTTATAAACTGTTAATGCTTGACACTTTAGTATTCATAAAGTAAGTATCAGCTCTCAATTTTCAACGCGCCGGAACCCACCCCAAGTATAATCAGCCATAATAGATGATGACATCATCGCCTATAACACAAGACGATATAGTGGCGTGGGACTTACGGGTTAAAATGAACAGTTGATTAACGTACACCAAGAAGATTAATAAATGATGATACTAACGAGGAAACTGGAAACACACGAGTAATTTTAACAAAAGAAAAGGAATTTATTCACAAATTTTCACGCTTAAAGTAGTGTCAATTGATCGTTTCAGGAAAATAAATCAGAATTCTTAAAGTCCGTAGTTTTACCGTATTTCATGCAACAAATTAAATGATCTGACATAAAATAATATTTTAAAAAGTTTAAGACCAAGGTAAGATAGCTAGCTGCTTGCCGAAGGGATATATGGTTTGCATACATTCAAACGTAGGCGAAGCGAGATTGTTGGGACAAAATTATTTGAAGACTCGTGTGCTGGTTAGAGACCGATAATATAATTGGCGAGTAATTTTACACTGAGGAGGAACGATAGCGTAATGGATGGTGGCTCGGATTCAGGAATTCCAGTCGAATCCATTACATTCACTTACGTGCTAATACCCTTGGGAAAGGTATGAATCCTCTTCTTCTCCCCCCCAACTATGGGTAAATAACAGGACAAACCTTGGATGGCAACTGGTCTACCGCAGAAATGGCAACCTATTGCGGGAAAAAATCTGCCTCATCAGTCATGTATCGAAAGTTACATGATCGCCTAAGCGTGTATCACGCATGGCACATAACTGACTGAAATTTACACTGACGAAGACTTCAATATGGTTGCGAGGAACTAAAACAAAACCTTTCACATGACATCAGACAACCTTCTCTGATTAATTAAATTCTTAGCCTCATTTTATATCAAAAGGATTTCGCGTAAACTCACGAATTCATTTTCTTCTTCTTGGCTGTCCGGCTAATTTCTGTGAAGGCAGGATTTTCATTGGTCCAAAAACAATTTCACACAGGCACGCGAATTTCTTTCCTTCTCCTTCCTCAGCTCACCCAAATTTGAAGGAAGTAGGTGAAGGGAGTTATTCCTTACTCACTATAAAGTCACGCAAACAGTGAGACTTAGACCACAGTGAGACTAAGAGCCAGTATTTACGGGACGGGTTTGAGCTTGTTGAATGCTAAAGGGTTAAATCGACATAAAAGACATCGACAAAAACTATTTTCTGGTTCCTTCTCGTTGAATATTGGCATATGTGGGACATTACACAAAAAATCAGAAAATTTGACCATAAACAAAAAATACAGCGGAGTTTTAAAACAGGCACTGTGTTCAGGAATAAACTTTTTTTTTTTTAAATTTTGTTCTTCTTATTATAGATTAAGCACTGAATATCATGAAAAAGAGAAAAAACTTTTATAAAACGTAAATTTGTTGTAAATTGACCCCACCCCACCTACATAAACGAATAAATAAATAAGTAAATATGCTCAGAATACATGTTTTCTTAAAATTAAAAAAAATAACATTTTGAAAATTTATAATCTAGTTTTCTTTTTTCAGATATTACTATCAATGAAACACTCCAGATTATGATTTTAAAATATTTACATTTTAAGAAATGAAGTGATTTTGATTTGGCTTCTGTACTGGGAGGCACGGTGGTCTAATGGATAGCGGCTCAGATTGAGGAATCGGAGAGCAGAGTTCGAATTCCAGTCGAATCCATGCTAATACCTTTGGGAAGGGTATGACTCCCCTCTTCTCCCACCAGCAATGGGTAAATAGCAGAACAGACCGGGTTCTATAGCCTTGGATTACAACTGGCCTACCGCACAAAGAAATGGCAACCTACTGCGGGAAAAAAATCTGCCTCGTCAGTCATGTATCGAGAGATACATGATCGCCTAAGGTGTATCACGTATGGCACGATCGATTTACAATATCGGAATTGATTTACAATGATTTACAGAGCGAACTGGACTCCACCAATACCTATTAATTTTTGTCACCTATAACCTACAGCAATTTGACAAAAATCAGTGCCTATAGTACAACTCTGGCAAAATTATTTATCCTGATGCCTAGTTTCCACCCTATTACTCGTAGTAGTCTTCTCGAGTGGAAATTTTGTAACTAGTTTTTATCGATTAGCATTCATTAGACCTGCTTACGGCCATATCACATTGAAACATCTTTTCTCACCCGAGCACCAAAGTTAAGCAACGTCGAACCTTGTTAGTACTTAGGTGAGTAAACACTTGTGAATACCAGGTGTTGTAAGCTTGGATGCGCAGGTGATGTAATGGATAACGGCCCGACATAAGAAATTGGAGAGTCTAGTTCGATTTCCAGTGGGATTCGTTATATTCCTTTATGTTCAAATACCCTTGAGAAAGGTATGAATCCATCTCTTCTTAACACAGCTATAGGTTAAATAGCAAGAAAAGACTGTCACATATACTCCTACCAACACACAGAATGGTAGGGTAATGGCTCATTCCTCCCCATGGTACAACATCATAATCTAACACCAATCGCATTGCCTACCTCGATGGTCAAGCCTAGTACATGGACGGAAAAGTTGACAAGATCTGGGGAAGGCCTACGTCCAATAAAAGACCTCCACAATCTGAGGAGAAGAAAACCTTTTTCTACCTGTGATATTTGTCAAAAATCAAAAACTTTTGTTATCCGTTTAGTAGGTGCGTGCTGTTCATAATATAAATACATTACAGAAACGTGGTTCTATAGAAGGACTGTGAGGGTACCATAGACCGAACACGTCTGCAACGACAAAGTTTTATAGAAAATAGAAACAAAAAGGAAACCTATACTTAACATCAGGAAGAGACAGTTGAAATTTCTAGATAACATAATGAAGAAATAGGAGTTGGAAAATCCGATACTCACAGGGCAGATTGAAGGCAAGCGGCACAGAGGAAAACAATGTATAACCTACTTAGTAAGCTTGAGTAAATGGATGGTGGAACAAGGTTTAAGTGAAATAACGACGTCTAAAGTGTTGTAAGTGATACTCCCATGAGCGAATAAACCGAAATCATAGAGGTACATAGCGCTGTGCCGTATCTCAGTCTTGTGCGTGTTCAATCCATTGTACTATGCTCAAGGAGTCCATTATTTTCTGTCACGGCTCGAAGCAGGGCGAAAGGCAGTTCCTTTCTTCGAGATGACATGTGGGGTGGATTTGCCTTTGAAGCATTCTTCAAGCATTTGCCCAAAGAGGCAGGTCCTACAAGACAATAGGGGAGTTTGAATTTGGAGTTGTCCTTCTCCTAGACCGATTGATACCCACGGCTATAGGATCCAGTCTGTCCTGCTATTTTACCCATAGCTGGCGAGATAAATATTAAGACTTGTATCGCTAAAAGTCATTGTTATTTTCTAAAATTTTGTTTATGAAATATTCACTTTCAAAACAAGTAATTATTAATCTTATAATCCTTCACCATCTTTTGAACAGAAGTAAAGTTTTTTCCTTTGTTTTCTGGGACATATTTAGGCTTGGGGAATTTGGAACAAAACGCATTATAGACAAGTGGGGCAGAAGGAAACAGTATGTAACCCACGTAATCAGCTTGTGAAAAGGCAAATATTAGAGTTAAGAAAGACAGTAAGTTGCTGAGAGCGATGATCACCAACTTTTTGAAAGGACTGGGAACATAAAAGAAGACAATTCAGCAACTTTCAATATTCCAATGTGTCTTCATATTTCTATGCTATATATCCTGTTGTCGGAGTATTGGCAACGAAAAAAATAAGATGAAAGAAATACGACAAAAAAAATTAATAATGGTTAACAAAAGCTTTATCTAATAAAAATTCAAGGTAATTACATGATATCATATGCACAAAATATCTCATCAGCTGTTCCATGAAAAAATAAATTTCTCTCAATGTACCAACCAGTTGCAACTAGTTAAAAAAACAAAAAGAAATTTTTTTTGTGTGTTTTTCTATTTTTGGGAACAAAATTAGAGTTAATTCTTTCATTGTATAGCTAAGATATTAAAAATAAATTCATGATTTATCTTTTCATTATTTGCCTTAATGAATATGCACATATAATATGGCAATATGTTTTGTGCAAATTAACAATGAAAATGCACAAAGGCTTTATTTTACATACTGTTGACATTGTCTTTAAGCCTTTCATTATCAAATAGCTTATTAAGTCAAACTTTTAGCCTTTTTAACTTAGTCCAGTGTTTGTTTTTCAAAGGTTATTATTCATCTGCCATTCCTCAATATAAATGAGACAACAACCTTTTCCGTTTTATTTTTTTAACACGACATGAAATATGTATGATGTATAATATTTGCATGTCAATTAACAAAGCAAACGTGAATTTTTATGTTTGACTTCTCAATGATAATGATTTCAAAATAAATAAGTCGTTGATTTGCACCATATGGTGTTTCATTAAGGATGTGCACAGCCACAACTATGCGTTAAATAGCAGGGCATATTGGATTATTTAGCCTTGAGTGGCAACCAGTCTAAGAGAATGAAAACTCTGAATTCAAAACTGTGGAGAAGGCAGCAGGAAGCCACCCCACTATTTTTCTCAAAATATTATGGAATTTTCACAGAATATAAAGAAAGAGAAACGGTGTAGAGCCATAATCGCTTACATCCTGTAGAGCCATGGCATTAAGAAAAAAAAAAAAAAAAAAAAGATAAAATAAAACAACTAGCGTGTTGGATTTTATCCAACAGTTCTGGAAAATTTAATATAGACTAACTCGTGAAAATTTAATGGTTTTCCGATTTGAATACTGAGCTTTTTCTCCTTTTTCCTGCTCGTTTTATTGTTCTACGCTTCCATCTTCCATCTTAATTTTTCAGTTAATGATTAAGTAAGCTCATAGCGAGTTCTACGACAATAAAATATCCGTAGAATTTTCCCTATAGTATCGTTAAATATTTGAGCTTAACAATTTTAAAAAATACTGCAATAACAATCATAAATATGAATGCTGGTCGTTATTTTAAGAAGTGGGTACAAATGAAAAGATTTTAAATTGACATTTTCCATTTCACTAAAACAGCCGTTAAATCTATCTTCCCTTTTTCTTGCTTTCTTTCATTTTTTTCACTGAAACCAAGTAGTTTCTTTTCCCCGCAATCAAAACGGAATAGTCCATTATTTATGAGGTAGTGGCACTTCTATATCAGCCTAGTTGGGAAAATGTAATAAAATACCATCTGAGCAATGGTTAACGAGTCAGTCTTGCTAAAGCATGATTTGAGGGTTAAATGTTCAGTATGTACACGGCAATGAGTTTGTGCCAAACAATACTGAGCTTTTTCTCCTTTTTCTTGCTCGTTTTATTGTTCTACGCTTCCATCTTCAGGGTGCGATGGATAAATTATCGTCTAAATTACGCAAAAAAAAAAAAAAAAAATTTGTTATCTCATTTTAACAGATATATTTACCAAAATTACACAAAATATATTGAAATACTAAAGAGCAAATTTATACAATAAAATCGCCACGGTTTCCAGACGACTTCGGAATCCCCTGCAATTCTTCTGGATGATTTGTTTGTTGATGAATGCTGCCATATTCCTTGCCTTCAGTTAATCTTTAGTGTCACAAAGAGTTTGTTGGTCTCTCAACTGCTTTATACACAATAATCAAGGGATGTTGTTGTTTGGGAAGTTACGTAGACAGATATAAGGGGTGATGCAGTCGCAGAAATTGTCTGACAGCCATAACTGGATTCTCCTGCTCGTATGACATGGCGCAGAGTCCTGTTGCCAAACATAGGGTGTTCCAGCAGCCACCATCTTGACTCAGGGCAGCACTACCTCCACAAGACACTTGATGTAGTCCTCCATGTTGAGTCTGAGGCCATTACCAACAAATTCGGGAGTTCTGTTCTTATCAGAACGATCAGAGTAAGTTTTCCGAGCTGCCGTACCTTCGTATTCGCCATTAGACTTATCCAAATCTTTCTGAACTCTTTGCACTGTCCTCAGATTGCCACCTAAACACTCCTAGATGTTCATGCAGTACAGCATGTCGCTTCCAACTTTCTGCGTTATGGTGCTCTTTTTCTCACAGACGTTGCCCAACGGACCCTACTATACTGTGAAGTGGACAAAATCAAAAAAAAACGCGCATGCGCGAGATTAAAAATATAAAATGGTGACAATTTACCCATTGCCCCCTGTACTTTTCATTCTCTTCTCACATCGTCCACTTCTTTCTTTTGTTTTTCTTTTTCTACTTCCCCGCTTCCTTTTGCATTTCCTCATCTTTCTCAATATGTTATCCTCTTTTGCATTCGTTTCTTTTTTCTTCTTTTTCTTTTCCTAATTTTTTTCCTCTACTTTTTCTTTTCCTCCATTCGATTTCTCTTCCTCATTTTCTTGTCTTTCCTTCCTCTTACCTCTTTTTCTTCACTACATTCCTTCATACCACCAACTTCTCCACGTAACGTATGCTTTTTTTTTATATCTCCAATCCTTCTGTACTTCTCATTATGCTTATTGTTCTCCGTCTTTTTCATCTTCTCTTCCTACTCATTCTTTCAACTCCTTCCGCCTTCATTTTCTTGACATCCTTTATTTTTTTTTTCTTTTCTTTTCCTTTCTTCTTTTCCAACTCATTTTCTCCTACTTATTCCTATTCTTCCTCTTTTCTTTTCCTATTCTCCCCTCTTTTTTTCTCTTCTGCCCCTTTTTATTATTCTCCTGTCATCGGCCTCTTCCTGTTTTTCAGGCTCCTCCTGTCTTTGCTTTTTTTTTTTCATTATCTCTCCTACCAGACATAGTTTGTTTTGAAGATTTCTTGCTTTTGTCCAGAATCACAAGATCCTTGTTATTATATCGCTTAGTTTCATCCTTATTTACATAAAATGTATCCTGAGACAAAAAAGAAAAAAAAAATGAAGAAATCAACAAAAGAAGATATGAGTTCAATTCCTTGAGAGCGCACTGGAAGTGATCAAATCAGGGATGAGGAGAACATATCAGAAAAAGAGAGAGCAATATCCCTCCTGAACAGTCCAATGAAAATTCCCTAACTGCCACTATATATATTCAATACACACACGAGGAATGCAGGAGAACACCTAAGCCATGACATTGTAATATAAACAAGGTTGGAAATGCTAGTTCAAAAAGAGCATTAAAATTAAATTCCTGTTAAATCATCCATTACTTAATATTCTCTTCTAAAATGGCAAGCTTAAGTAGGTTAGAAAGAAAACTCTTATCAAAATAAAAAGAGCAATAACAGTTAATAATAGACT